CTACAGAGCACAAATAGAGTCTGAAGACTCAGAGTCCAAATCTCACATGACCCTGAGCAGTCCCAAAAAGCATTTAGTAGGATACAGAACTGGGATGTGATGGTAAAAACCTCAGCTTGAGTGGTTGGAAAAGGCCAGGCTGAGGAACTCCTACAGCCTGGTGCTGTAGGTCAGGAATAGGGCTTCCCACCTCTGCTCCTTCACTGATTTATAGGGGACAGGACCACACCAGAGGGACCCCTCCTCAATGTTTCTCATCCTTGGGAGAGCACCAAACACCTCCTTGATACTGGGATTTTTACTCTTCCAAGGAAAACTCAGCTTTTACCCAGGAGGCAGCCAACCTGCTCAAGAGACCAAATTTTTCCCAATTCCAATTTTTCAGTGTCTCAAGAACTGGAGTCCTGCCAGGCAGCCAAACTAAAGTGTGGCTGGGCAGTGTGGGCACAGTAACAATTGCTCTTTCCAGTGAAGAAAATGGGGAAAAGATCTCATTTCATAATTAGTAGTTACAATAAGATTCATCCTCTCCAGAGCCCAAATCAGTTCAGAAGGTAGGACTGTCTGCTGAAAATAAGGAAAGACTTCACTGAGGTTGGAGTGATGATGACACTGGGAGAGAGGGAGGACCCAGGTCAACAGCACTCCTACCCTATCAGTGATAACACTGGAACAAACTCCCTAGAAATCCTAAAATTGAAATATTGATCCCAGTAAACATTACACAGCTCAGTATAAAAAAAAAAAAAAAAAACAAAAAAAAAACAAAAAACAACGAAATAAACTGAATAGTTCATCTGAGATCCTACAGTCACTCCAGATCAAATAGGATGGATTCACCCCAATCATGCAGCCCAGCAAGGGAGGCAAACTCACATCAGTGGGCTCCACGTGAGCTCCACGTGTGTGCCCAGGATCTGGGCTCTGTGGAGCTCCTGCAGACAGACACTCATCCCCATTTGTCCTGGGTCTGTCTACTGGTGTCCAGGTTATTTGCCTTCTGGTTTGGAAATAAGGATGAGCTTTCACAGCAGCTGCTTTCACTGTGTGGTCACTGGGACCCAGAGAGATGAAAACACCTTCCCCTGATGGAGTGACCACTGTGAATTCCCAAGTACTAGAAAGAGAAAGGGAGAAGTCAGATGGAGAGTGTGTCCAAAGAACCAAAAAATAACACTCTTCAGATTAAGTCCTTTACAAAGAACAAGACTGACCAGGAAGGAACTTGTCCAGGACCAAGAGGAACAATAAATTAGGGAAGCCAGAACAGGCTGACATAATCAGGACAAAAGAAGTTGAAATCAGGAACACTTTAAGAGTGGGTAAAATGAAATATAAATCATTCTCTCGCAGTAAGTTTCCTTACCAAAATATATTAACAAACCTTTACCAGAACAGGTCATCTGTCTGATTCATGCTTCAGCAGCCAAAAACCAATCTGCTTAAACTCTGTTTTAAATAAGGAGTGGGAAACACCCACCTTTCTTTTGTCAGCCACTACACTCAGCTACATTGTTTTCCAGAAGTGATTTACTAGACTGGAATTAGTAAGAAAATCCACCTCCTCTGTTTCCTTAAGGAAACCCAGATTAGTAAGGCTGGGGCTGCAATCCTGTTCTTTACTGCCCAGTTCTGTCAGTGCAGGTGGCCACACTTCCCTCTTGCAGGCACTCAAAGCACTGAGCTCAAGTTACTCCCATCTTCCAGGATGCCCACTGGACATGGTCTCAAAAAAACACATTTAAGTGCTTTCAACTTAAAGCTGAAAGACTTTTAAGCCTTCCTGGCTGATAAATACTGCTACTCAACATGGAAATTCTTATTCAGTGCTGATTCTGCCACAGAAGTCAACCCACCGTAAGGAAAAAAAAAATCCAGACAAAATCCCACCTTGCATCCTCTTAGCTCCTAAAATTATCCTGCACTTCCTTCCTTGACACCTAGCAGACTTTGAGAACAGCTGCCATCATGCTCTCAAAGCAAACAGCATTTCAGTCAGCAGAGCAGCAACAGGGAAGGGGTTTTCATCTCCCTGGGTCCCAGTGACCACACAGTGAAAGCAGCTCCTGTGGAAGCTCATCACTATTTCCAAACCAGGAGGCAGTCCCTCAAGGTAAAAGGCAAATAATCTGGAAATGTGTTGTGCACAGGCAAAATTCGTGGGCTGGGGAAGGGCAAGGGGAGCATAAAGGGAAAAACACAAGCATGAATTCACCACTTCAGAGGCAGTTGGAGCAGCTGCCCCGACCTCAGCTTGGCAGGGAATGAGAAAACAGTGAGGGCAAAAAGAAGTCCTTGCAGTGCCAGCAGAAGTGATTTTTGTTTGTTTTTTGCAAACTCTCTCTTTCCTTCAATCCAGTAGGGGTTTGAAGACCTTCTCTTTGCATGGAATTGTTATCTCTCACAGACATTTCACCTTCCTGTCCCACATGTCAGCACAGTGAAAGACTAAGAGTGATGGACTTCCTTGAGCCTGCCAGGGACAAAAGCACACAAAGAGAGGAGACAGCTGTGAGAACTAAACAATGACTTGAAAACTAAAGCAAACCTTTTGACAGGTTCTGAGCACCAGGCTGTCAGCCAAAAAAAGCAGCCTTGAGGTTTCCCTGAGGAAATATGCTGTTCTGCAGATGAGAAGGGTGGTCAATTTTCTTTCCACTTGACCCCAGCTCTGCCAGGAGCTCCTGGGCCAGGCCAGCAGTCCCTCTGCTCTTTGTGCAAGGTAAATTTGCTCTTCTGCCTGGGATTTGCGCATGGAAAAGTGACCTGGCTGATCTCAGAATGCCAAATTCTTAGACTCACAGAATAGTTTGGGTTGGAAAGGAGCTTTAAAGGCCATTTAAATCCCCCTACAATCAGCAGGGACATCAACTAGACCAGGTTGCTCAGACCTCGTCCAGCCTGACATCAAATGCTTTCAGGGATGGGCATCCACCACCTCTTTGGGCAACCTTTTACCACTCTCATTGAAAATACTTTTTCCTTATATATATATAATCTAAATTGATCCTCTTGTAGTTTAAAACCATTCCCCCTTGTTCTATTGTGATGAATTCCCAGGAGAAGACACTACAAATCCCTGTCACTCACAGTGAGGGATGGCCAGCATCCAGTAGGAAGTTCTCCAGAAGTCGCCAGTAGCAATCATTTTTTTCCCTGAAAAAAAAAAAAAAAAGTCAAGAGAGAGAGTTCATGTTGCAATCTCAAAAACCTCTGCAAATTACCGTATATTCTATTCTACCAAGTGGTAGAGCTCAGACAAGCTTGTCTGCCTTTTACAGGTAGTGCAAGATCTGGGACACAATCCCAAGACACTCAGCTCCTCCAGGAAGATAACACATTCTTTTAACTACTGCCAACTTCCTCACTCTCACATCTCTTAAGAAGAAAAGTGCAAGTTGATGCCATGAGAAACAGAAATTGTAGTTTCCCAATTCGTCTCAAAAGTCCATATGTCTTAAAGGACACGCTGGGTCACTATGGCCTTTCCCAAAGGAATTATTCATGCACTCAGAGCTCATGTGTGATGCTTCTCTCATGGACTTATAAAAGCTCATAATGTGCTACAAACAAAAGAAATCATGAGGGCTGATCTTCAAAGTTGCTTTATTTGCTTCTTTTCAGCAAGGGAAATATAGAAAACAAGACAATATATCAGCAGAGCATGAAACTTCAGATAAAGAGTAATGAAGCAAAGAACATGATGCCAACAATACTTGTAAAAATATGAAATGCACTGGTTTTTGATTTACTGAAGCTATTTCCAAATCTGAAATAAACCTCAGCTGCTTCCATAAATTTTCCTCACAAGTTTTGTTCAATTTTTTTTTTTAAAGACAAAAAAAAATACCCCAAAACACCTTTAAAAAAAGCCCTAAAGTCTCACTTTTTGTACAGAAAGGAAGCAAAATACAAACCAATTCTACAAAAAAAGCCCAAATTGCAATGAAGCATTGAAGCATTTCTGGAATCCCAAATAAGTAGGTTAAAAAAAAAAAAAAAAAAAAAAAGAAGACCAGTTGATGTATTGGCTGGAAAAGATTTATTTTTTTATTAGAAAAAGTAAGGTATATAAATAAATAATCCACGCTGCACTTACAATAGTAGAGCAAATGTCATCCCTCACATCTTCACTAATACACTGAGACACACATACAAAGTTTTAGCACTGCTCTGCAAACAACAGAACACTGGTTCTAACACTGAGTCCTAAGTCTTGCATCTCCTAAATCCTTTCTGTGGGTGTTTCAGATTGACAGTCTGTACCCTTGGTAAACATATGACATAAAAAACACAAGACAAAAGGCACTTAAGAAGTCCAACACACTTGGAGAGATGGAGTATTTCAGGTGCACAAACAAATGCAGATCAAACCCAAAAGATGGTACTGGTAGTGATCCCAAGCCAGTGACATTCAGATAGAAGGAAAACCTTAAACATTTAACACCTCAGCTGAACAAAAATCACCAGAGGACCCCCTAAAGTGCTTCCATCTATCCTGTCAGTAAAATGGGCCACTAAATGTACACCCCGAGGTAGGCTTGGCTTTGGCAACCCTCACCCTGTGAAGGTGCTCAGGGGCTGTCAGAGTTCAACCCCAGACAGCAACTAAGCCCCACAGAGCTGCTTTCACAGCCCCCTGGGAGGGTTGGGAGAATCAGGAGAGTTGCCCCATACTGCCTTCTGCACAGAAAATGAACTCTATCCCAACTAAAACAAGCACAGGGGAGCTCAGGTAATTGGAACTTTCAGCCTAGAAATGGCCAGATCAGCAGGCCTGGGCAGGCACTGAGGACCAGCTTAGGGTGGTGGAGGAGAGAGGAGCTCCAACACAACCTGGGGCAGGAGTAGAATTAGGGGCCAGCTCATAAGAGTAGTGCAGTGTCTTTATCTGCCACCAAAATCTGGGCAAATCAGCAAATTCAGGTTCTGTAAGATCTCCTGCTGACACCACTCCATCCACAGCAGGGACACAGGCCAGCGAGCTGAGGGGGTGACGCTGCTGGGCTTTGTTTCCCGGTCCTCCTCACTTATTTTAAAAAAACCACCAAAAACCCCAAAAACAAACTGAACCAAAAGAAACAAAAAACCCCCACACCAAGAAGAAACCTCACCCCAGGATTAGAAAGGTCAAATAAAGTACAATACTTATATATTTATAAATATATATAAATGACATATAATTCTTTTTTCCCAACTGTGGCTGCTACTTTCTTTAACCTGTCACCTCCTTGGAGTTCTATTGGTCTTCCCCAGTAATTCTGACAAATTCAGTGTGGTTTGAGTTCCTGTGGCCTCAAGTCCTGTGGTTTTGAGTCTGGAAGGTGTTTTTGGAGAAAGTTAAGCAATACTGTCCTTGGCACAATGACACATTCACTGAGGAAAAGGAGCTGGAATAGCCGAGTAAGAGAAGGAAAACCAGATCACAGGAAGAGGGCAATGAACTCAGAGTTGCTGCAAGTAAAATTGCAGACAGAAGTTGCCAAAAATTAAGCCCCTCTCTACTACAAGAGCAATCAGGCACTGCAAGAGGGTCCCCAGAGAGTCTGCAGAGCTTCCATCCATGGCTGTTTTCAAATCTCAACTGGAAGAAGGCAAATACATTTTTCACAGCAGCAGTAGCATGAGTAGCACGAGCAAAGAAGATTTTTGCACAGCAGAGGAGAGGACTAAGTGGTCTCTCTGATCGTACTTTAAGGGTCCAGACTGGATAAAAAACTTTGTGTTAGTCATTTCAGTGATAATTCAGTATCTAGATAGGGCAGCGTATGTTTCTTTTCCCTTTTTTGCTGCTTCTTTCCAACCAGTCAAGTCACTATTTCTAATGCTGACTTCAGGTTACTGGGTTCTGATGATATGGAAGGTGAGTGGAAATCCTCAAGGATCCTAGAAAACAAAGAAAAAAAAACAGTGAAAAGGATTAATTGTGGCCACCATGTTGCTGCCTCAAGGGCAAGTGGGGAGAGAAATGCACAGTGGGGAAAGTGGGGAACAACAGTCACAAAACTGCCCTTTGGTGAACAACTGTAGGACTTTCCCTGCTTTTTTTTTTATTCTGGAAGTCACACACACTACAGAATTCAGGATAAGACAGAGAAATAACAAATACACAGAACCCTAAAAGGATTTGTAAACTGTGAAAAGCAAACTAACTTTCCCGGTTGGTAAAACACCAGGATAAACCAGTAAGGTTGTATATGGAGCACATAAATAGTTTGGTATTTCAGAATGTCATTCTGATGTTTGAGATGCAATTTATAACACTACCATCACATGGCTTTGAAGACAGGGACAAAATATATGGCACCTTTGCTTTTCTTGTAGAAGAGTATGAAAGAGGTATCCATCTCCTTGTCTAATAACCCTTCATACAGCCAAAGTATTTTGCAGAGTGCTTTGGAATTGAGTATATAAATAATTCTTGCCAAGGAAGCAAATGAGGAATTGAAACAGCGAGGTAACTATTCATTTATCACAGGAGTGCTATTTTTCCTCCCTTTCAGCTGCATTTTATTTTCTGGTTATATACAAAGCACAAATATGATGGACAGGATGAAAATTGTGTTGATCATCCATAGTAAGAGCCGCCTTGTTTGCAAAGAAACAGCGTTTTAGCAGCATAAACTTCAACACTTCTCCCTCGGACAGGCATAACAACCTCTGGGATGTTTCCTACACCACCACTTTCATCCTGTCTGCAACAAACAGGATTTATTTATCATCCTGAACAGAAAATTAAGTGACTTACTAGGGAACAGGTGCTGTCTGGAAGCAGTAGATGAAACCCAAAAACATCTTCACTTGGGTTGCAAAATATTTATGTCTGTGGGAAACCTGGTGGGCAGCTGACAGCAGAATTACCTCTTTGCTGACATTTTTGTAATGAGGGGTGGCTTTTTTTTAGTTCTCCTCCTCATTAGTTCTGTTTTGGTCTGTTTGGCTACAATATTTTTACACTGTGGTTTTTGAGGGAGTTGGGTTGGGGTTTGTCTGGGTTTTTGTTTGTTTTCTGGTTTTTGGTGGGGTTTTTGTGCAGTGTTAAGAAGGGTAAAGCAATGAGGTTGTTGTATATTCACTGCGTGTTTTTTGCCATTTTTCTGGGAATTAAAAATAGGATAAATATATAAATCTCCTACTTATGATAAAGCTACATTTGAGAGGAAACCAAGAAAGTCTAAAATGAGCCTCCTCAGCTGGGACATGACTCCCAGACACCCATTCCTCTGTGAGCAGGGTGAGTTAGATCCATCTGTCTCATGAAAGAGGGAGATAAGTCCTGAGTTTATCATCTGAAAGTCTGGTGTTTAGCCTGTCTTTTCTGGAAAAATTATTCTGAAAAATCTCCTAAAATCAAGCAGCTATGTTGTTCTCAACTACCAAGTCTCTCACTAATAATAAATGCAGATATATGTCAAAGCAACCCACTGAAGAAACAAGTCAGGTCATAAGATAAAACAGGAATTGCCATAATTTTAAGCCAAAGCTTAAAAACAAAGCCTTCCTCAAACTGAATAAACACAAGACAATACTGTTATAGTGGCTCTTCCAGAATTATTTGCTATTTTTACTATAAACACAGCAATGGAAAGTGTCTCTAAGCTCTTGTTTTTGTGAAGTTTTCTAAATAACTGGAATTTCCTGCATAAGACTTATTTCCCAGGCTTTCAGGACGTATTTGGCCACCAAAATTTGGGGTTCTGGTACCTCAGTATTACAGCTGCTCAGCCAAATTGCTATTTGGCACTTAACAAACCTGAATCTATACTATTTGTAGCAACTTCCAAAACTCAGAACAAAACAAACCCAATCAGGGCATCTTAAATTCCTGTTCAGGGTATCAAGTGATCTCCAGTTGGCAATGAAAAGGTATTTTCAACTTGGTTTATAGTACTTTCATAAACTATGACACACACTGAAGTTCAGTATTTCTTTGAAATACAGGCAGTTGCTTGTATTCAAACACAAACATAGAATCATTAAGGCTGGAAAAGACCTCCAAGATCATCAAATCCAACCTTCGACAAAGGCACAATGTTGCTCACATCTGAATTCCAGAAAATTTCCACTTGAAGGGAAACCTGACGGTTTTGATTTCCAAACAGGAAAAAAAAATCCCACATTTCTGTGTTGGCACTTTCTGCAGAATGGAAACTTTGATCTGACCTAATCTCTCCTTCTATGACTCTTCAAGTTTTCTTTTTCCAGTTTTCTTGGGTCACATCATATCTATTCATTAACAAGCCCCATATTTTTCTGTCCTGTTGTTATAGCTTTTTTAAACACAGACATACAATTTGACTATTTATTAACCTTTCCACATAAAACAAAACCTGCATAAGTTGCCCAAGAGACATAAACATACCAATGCTTTAAAAACAAAACAAGCCAAGGAAATCATTCTGGCCTTTCTATGCATTGGTGAAACAGCCCTTCCTGGGCTGTTGCAGGTCACCACGAGCCTCTTGGAAAAAAGCGTATGTTTAATTTTATCCCCCTACAGACATCCTGAGAAGTGACTATAAAGTTTTTTAATTGGTCAGGTTGAAATAAGAGTATCCTGCAAGCCTTGAAATAAGCACCTGATGCTGTGGAAAGCAGTCAGGTTGAGACATGTGAAGGGCAGGTCATGGCCAATCTTTGCAAACGAAGATTTGGGAAAGGTCTTTACCCACATTTGTTCCAAGCGCACTGGTGATACAGGGCTTTGCAAATGCGGGTAAGGCCTTCGAGCCTGTGCAATGGATTTTTTAGGTGAGACACGGTGTGTGCTGAACTGAGCCCACCCTTTAATCCTGAGGTTCATCTGCCGGGGTCGAGCGAGCTTCGACAGTGGCAGCAAGGTCCTCAGGACGTAGGTTTGTTTAGAGTGACCTTCTCTTAGATGGATGGCCTTACAGGGCTGACGAGCTCCATCTGCCCGGGTTTAGAGTTGTCCTCTTCTGTGTGTACCGGGGCTCCCCTCTCAACTCCCATGATGGTACTGTCTGCACAGGTGAAGCTCCCATTCTCTCTCTCCTTTCCGCGCCAGGGCCACACTTTTGCACACGCGGCCTGGGGTCGGGCCCCTGAAGGGTAGGTAAGGCACAGGAATTTATTCAGGCTCATAAAGCTTTATTTTGCTTTGACCCAGGCTCTTGGCTTGTTAAGTGACCGCTTTACATTGGTGTAAATAAGCTCTGTTAGTTGAGCCAGGAAGGAAATCGTAACTTTTTATAAGAGCAGCACCAAGAGAGGGTGGGTGAAATTTTGCCTGTTGATTCATTGCAGCTCATTGCACTTGTATGGAGTGAGAGGCACAGCTAAATTTGCCTCTGCTTGTCAGAGATGAAGATTGAGTTTTCCATCTGCACTTGCCACAAAGGCCACTCAGTTCATTCCCAAACAACTGACTTTTTGCCAACCATTGTGAAGACACTTCACTCGGGATGCTTTCAGGGAGAGCTACAAAACATATGTATGCTCTGTAATAGGTACACAAGGCAAATGCCTGAGGGGTGGGACATCAAACTTCAACCCCAGCTCTTGACCTAATTCCCAAGTATCCACCACAAAAAGGAAGGAAATAAAAAATAGAAAAGCAAAGAAAAAACTAATCATACTCTCAAGAGCAGAAGCAACTTTGTCACAGAAGTGTCCCCAGCCACTCAGATAAAAAGCTGCTGGTTTACTTTCTGGGCAACTTGACAATACTACAAAGGCAGTGCTTGTTATCTAGTATAGAATGAAGAGCAGTATTAAAGCCCCAGACATACAGGGGGATTTTCCAGCCAGTGCTATTTGCTCTCTGTTGTGAGGTTATAAGAAGCCCTTCCAAAAGTATGTCCATGGGCACTGCCCCTCATTCCAACCCAGTCTGAGCACAGTAGAGGATAAAACTAGAAAAGGGCTTTCTGCAAGGTGTTACTGCCTCTTGGGGGAATCAACTACAACTTTAAAAATCATAAACATATTTCACAGATAATTAGGGAAAAAAAACAAGTCACCACAAAACCAGACAAGGATCCATAGCCAAGGAGGGTTAGGGGATTTCCTCGTTACAATATAGTGTTTGTGGAGTAGTAACAAACTGGAAATACAGTGTTAAAAATTGCTGTAGTTCCACAGGTATTCTAAGGATTCCCAGAAAAATGACAGTTATAATTATATGCAAGATAAATATTAAGTAATCCTTAGGAACAGGCATAAAAGAGCATCCTGGGGATAAAAAAATACATTAAAAAAATTAAAAAAACCAGATTGTGATAGAGTGATCAAACTGCACTACTGTCTGAGTTTTACAGCAAACTAATTAACGAGGACTTCAGGAAACAAATGTACATTAGGAAAATGGACTACACGTTTCTTTAAGGTGGTCACTGTATGAAGGGATAGGATCAGCTGGCCAAAGTTGCTCTGGATAAAGTAATACTGCCTTTATGCAAAGAGGAGCCAAGTCATTACATGACATTTTCAGAACTCAAGATTGAAAAACAACTGAAAATATGCAGACTAAGGCTGATAAAAACTAGACTGCATTAGAAGAACAGAGACTGAAGGACTTCCAAGATCACTGTAGAAGTCACATCCTGGAGTTTGTAAATCAAAACCCATGATGAATGGGAAGGAACACAAACAATTCACTCAAATCCTGTTTTTGTTGATAAACTTTGACAGAACCTCATACCCCCTAGCAAACACTGTTCAGCTAATTTACCCAAACAATTCTACTTGTTTATAGGAACAATGGAAAGCTCATATTTTACAACTAGAACTTTTCTGGGGTGTGAGAATTGTCCATTTCTTTCTTCTCTGTGAAGACTTTTGCAGTAGCAGATTTACTAGATCAACCCCTCTCAACAGTAGACACTCTAGGTTTAAGTTCACAACAGACAGATCTAATATTTCTGGAAACATTACTTTATATCACATTATCATCAGGAAGCAAGCATCTAAATATTCAGGAACTGAGCTAATGTGTGCTGCTGTTTCTAAATACATCAGTAGAATTTAAAGCCAGACAAAGCATTTTGATTTAGCTGAACACCAGTGAAATTACCACTGACCATCAAATTTCTGTGATTTCTGAAGCCTCCCCACTCCTCTATTTTTTTTTTATTCTGTTATTAGTAATTAAGACTAGACAGTTGAATTGATCCATGACAGGTCATTCCACATGCAAAGACATTACACTGACTGCAATTTCTCCTTAGTTCATCATTAGGAAGCAGACTCTTATGCCAAATTTGAGCAGACCTCACCATATCTCCCTGTTTGTCTTAAAAATGGTGCTGTAACCAGCAGAAAACTTTTCCCCTGAGGGAAAACCACTGGTTTCCACACATCAGGGACTCACCACTTCAACACCTCCTGCAGATTTTCTTCCTCCAGAACAGCAAACACACAACTACGACAACAGTTACGATCACAGCAATAATCAGCAGCCAAAGTAATGAGGGTCCCTCTTCTGTGAAAACAAAAGAAAAACCACACCAAATGAAGATGGTTTATAAAGAAAATAAACAAAGAGAGTGAAGAGGATGTCTGGTTAATGAGGATGCTTCCTCTGATACTGTGAAAGGCATTGCTAAGATACATAAAAGTAGCAATTGCTCAAAACAGAGAGTGAATTTATGAATCCCTAAAGGTAAAATTTTTATGAATCCTTTCACTTGCCTGCAGAAAATGTGAGAAGATGTGCTCATGTTCAACCATGGCCAAGAAAACTGCCATTCCTACCCCCAATACAGTGCTTGGCATGGGCACATAAGCACAACTTCACATAAGTCTTAAAGACTTCAGAGGAGTTTGTTTGTTTGTTCATCCAGAATTTTATCTTTTTGTTTGTAAAATAGAAGTTATTCTTTTTACCTTTAAACAATTATCACTGTTGAAAAGGCTGCATTAACCTTCAGAAGAGAAGACAGGCCTGCAAATAGCTCTACCCAACACCTAAGCATAAATTCCTCCCTGGTTAACCACTTTAACTGCCATTAATCAAAAACATTAATACAAAGGCCCAGTTCACTGACATTACCTGGAAAACTTTACAAATTAAAATGTATTTGAATCAAGCCAACACTATTCTGTTTTTTAACAAAGCTAGGTGGAACCATTCATTCGAATTTATCATCCTCTAAAATGTAATACTGCTGAAATAACAAGCTGTCCGCTGATTTTTCATTCTCCTAGCAAGAAAACACAGTCTTAGTTTCCTGCTTTCTGAGATACATATTTTCTTTTCAACAGGCCAAAACAAAAGAATATTGATATTCAGACAGGAGAAACATTTAGCAAGCTTTTTCAATTAGTATAATTCAGAATTAAGAACTGATTTGAAAGTTAAGTTTTAGAGTGAAGACATTAAGTCAGATCTTGTTCTGTACTATTATTCCTGTAACAATCACTTCTTGAGCATCTGATTTCAGAATTAACTCACATTTACAGGTACTGCTTTTCCTGTCTTCCTAATTTATCAGTGGTCTCCCCTTTAAGGTTCTGGATTTGGAGACATGTGAATTTTAAATATCCCAAGTTAATGCTTCTGTATGAACTAAAAATGGTAGTTCAGCTTTTAATGTTTCTCTTTCTCACCTGCAGAACTGGGGTGAAAGTCTTTCCAGCAGAACAGAATACTGGAAGAAGAAATAAAAATACTACAAGGTATTCAGATGTTACACGTATTTAAGATGTCTGCATAAACCCAACACAAGCATCTTCAACTGGTTGCCTCCCTGTATGCCTGGAAATACTATTCCTTCCCCATTGTGACTACTCCTTCTTTCCTGCATCTCTAGTGCAAAGTCCTTCTGCTGTATTCTCCCAGAAATCAATAAAGTTATGTTGATTTACATTGGCTGAGGCTCTGGCTCTCTTTTAAACTCTTTAAATTAAAAATACACAGGTTAAAACACAACAAAGTATGTGGTAAGTTGAAGCCAAGCTTTTGGTTCAGAGGTAGTTTGTTACGAATTTCAGAACTCCCACTTCTGGGTCCATTAAGCGACCCATGGAGTTTCTACTTCATCTGGATAGATATCAAGTGATATATTTATACTTATTTTTAGGTTGTTAAATTATGAAGACAAGCATGAAAATTGTAGTTTAACTTGCTGCAAAACACATGGTACCTCTAAAACCCATAGCTTGGCTTTTTTCCCCTCCTCTTTGATAGGACTCCAGTATGTCACTGTCTCAAAGACAGCAACAAATGCAAAGAGGATTTTATTTCTTCTTGCTTGACATATACACATCTGACCCCCTCCTCTTCCCAGCAGATTCCTACCCAAACATGGAGGCCAAGAGAACACTGACAAGGTGCTTTCACTGTTCACCCACCTCCGTTAATCCTCACGGGCAATTCCCTGGTTTCCTTTGTGTTGTTCACTCTGCAGATCAAGTCCTGGGCCCTGATCCTCTGGGGGTTGTGGATGTGCAGTGTGCTGGTGATGGACACCACCCCACTGGCGTGACTGACCACCTCCTGTGTAGGAGCAGAATCGAACAAGTCGTTCCAGGTGATGGTGGGCTCTGGGAAGCCAACAGCACTACAGACGGCTACCAAGTGACCTTCAGAAATGTTGTAGTGGACAGATGCATTGAGACCTTCCAACACACAAATGAGACAATCCATCACCACAACGAGCTCCTGCTCACAGGCAGTAACAGCAGTCTGACTATCACGAACCAGAGCAAAGCTTACTGCACTCACACTGAGCCCAAAGAAGTGTTCACTGGGTCAGGTTCCCTCCAGGACTCAAAACTCCTTCCCTTATACTCAAGTTATATGCCCCAAACATTTCACTTAATCTGAAATCCACGTATTAAAATAATCTGTTCAGTAAAACCATTTCTTGGTCCCATCTGATAATTCCCTACCAATATGGCACAGCTCACAGCACCGGAGTTGTTGCTGGCACTGAGAGGAAACAGCAACAAGCAATGCTGGTTTGCCCAAGTTCCATCTGGGACTGCCCAAGGGCTTACAAAGATCCCACTCCTTGCTTTTTAGTTGCTACTCAAGGAATAACAACCAAGAGCCAAACCCACCACAACAGTCTTGAATATGACCCCCAGAGTCTTGCTCACAGCAGTAATGCTCTGTTTCTACATTCTGTTCCACCAAGGGATGCTCCTATCCCTGCAGTTCCTGAATGTGCTCCAGGAAATACTGTGGGTGAGAAAATACCTCTTATTCCACCAGAAACATATCCTTGCAGGGAACCTCACCAAAGACACTCAGGCAGGTACGTCCAGAGACAGAGCCTGAGGGAAAGGTATTGAAGAGACACAGGTAACATCCTGAATCATCCATTGTAGTGTCCCAAAAAGTGATGCTTGTCTCGTTGAGTTCCAGACTTGTGAAATTCATTCGGTCTTGATAGGACTTGTGAATCCTCAATCCTTTCAGTTTACTGTATGTAGCTATATTCTTAAGTGATTTTTCAGAGCCCTTTTGCCACGTCACTTGCACAACATCCATGGGTTCTGTCAGGGCACAGCTCAGAGGGGCGTTGTCACCCACCCTCACTTGAATTTCTTCAGCCTGTGGAACCACTGCAGTGACATAAAATAGGGAAAGGGGTAGATATCACACGTATTCAGAAACCTAATGCTGATTCTAAGGCCTGGATTACCCACAGACACAACAACTCCTCCAATTACATTCCTCCACCAAAAAGTCCTTCTCTTCAGTACTCCTAGAAATCACTGACAGTTTACATTGCCTGAGGCTCTGGCTTTCTTCTAAACTGTTTCAATGTAAAAAACCCCTATTTGTGTACCCATCCCCACAGACTTCCTTCTCCAGTTTCACTAAATCAGCTTCTGCCTTCCCATTCATCACATACCCAGTTTTTGTTTCTTAAGAGCTAGAGGAAGATTGAGTGCATCAGGGAAGTACACACCAAGCCATTCTCAGAGGAATAAACATGGCTTAAGAAGAGCTTCTGGACCACATAGTTTTAGAGCTCACAGCACATTTGAGATGGAGAGAAAGAAAAACAGAGATTTGTTCCTTAGGAAAGGCTCCACGATGAGAAACTGAACTCAGATGAACAGTAGCGTCCAGTGTCATCATATTTATGGGACGCTGCCATCCCTAAACGCTGCTCTGGGAGGTTTTATGTCACACTTGCCAGCACCATGACTCTGCCTCAGCACATGTTTAACAGCATCAGCAATCTGGATTGCAGCTACTTTTCTCTCTTACTCTGACTGTTGAAGCCTCAGGAATCTGAAACCAGTTCCCCAACAATTTTCAAGCAGATTTCAGGAAATTCAACTTACCCTTTGCCTTTCCAAGCCCAGAACACGCCAGACACAAAACCAGAAATCGGAAAGTCATTTTGGAAGAGGAAATCTGCTTCACCTGACGGAAGACAAGGAGAGGTGAGTGACTCAATGACAGACCATCTTCTGGTGATATCGTGTCCTCGGGGTGCAAAAATTAACAGTAGGTTTATTGTGTGAGAAAAAAATCTGGGGTTAGACAGCAAGATTTGACAGGTCTCATTGTCCTGTTCCCTCGGTTGATATTGCCACAACACAACTGTATTGCAGACCTGACTGAAGCTGGCATTATATCCAAGCAGAATCATTATTTTGCACAAAATACCTCTGTAACACACTCCACCCACTGCTGAGGCTTTCTGCCAATGCCTGCAAAACCAGCTGATGCATCTGGGGAGCATCTTCCGTCAAGAAATAAGGAAATCTCAACCTTTTAAAGATTTTCACAACATGCAAAAAACAGAAGAGAGAATCGACTGAAAAGCATTTTCTGTGTTATACTGATTAAGAATGGAAGGCTGATGAACAAATAAATGAACGACAGGAAGAAAACGAAAGTATTTAAAACAAATTCCCAGTGCACATAATGCTTACGCAGACAACCAGTAGCCTGCCTTTAAATTCTGAACACATTATGCTAAAATCAGCCCTGATACAACTCTCTAGTTACCAAGCACAAAGAGAGATCAAGTTCTGACGTGTAAAAATCAGGAAACAAGGATCCATCAGCAACAAGCCCAATGAAGAATTTGCCAGATAATAGAGTGTAGCCAGATATTTAAGCAATAAGAAATTCAGACAGATATTCCCCAAAACAAGCAGAAATCAAGGGCTAGCATAGCAAGCAGAAAATACCGAGTTAAAGCAGTGAAAGACGTGTCACACCCGCAGGCAAGCAGAGTTTTCAACTCCAGCCTTCTGTGTGTCACCGCTTTGGGACCCGTTAAAGCCCTTAATGCACCATCACGGACACATGGGGTAGATAAAAGGTTTCACACCACGAGGAACCAGGATACACCGTGTAACTATATGGGCCACCAAAAAAAACTCCCTAGGGTTACAAGTCCAATCATCAGTTAAAAAAAAAAAAAACAACCAAAAACAAACAACAAAAACAAACAAACAAAAAACCACACAAACAACCAAAAAAACCCACATACACAAACACCCACAAAACCCCACAAACAAACAAATAAAAAAACCCAACACAACAAAAAAAACCCAAACAAAACAAACAAACAAAAAAACCCCAAAGAAAACAACCAACGAAAAAAACAACCCCACAAAACATCAGAAGAAAGGGAAAAAAGGTGTTAAAGACTCTAACTGCGGCAAGTAAAGCGTGAATCTTTCAATCTTCACTGTGCCTGCCCTTCCCGACCCGCACCTCGGAGGGCTCCCGAGCCACCTCCTGTGCCCCTCGCCGTCCAAACCGCTCCTCCTCCGCTTCCTTTCTGAAAACTTTCAGAAAGTTTCATTCCGAAACTCCTTCAACTTTAAAGAAAAACTTTTATCCTTCTGGAGAACCGGCCCCGGTAACTGCTCGGCGTCACAGGCTCAGAAGGGCGGCCGCGGCAGGAGCCGGGCACCCTCCCGGTCAGGAATGATGGAGAAAAGAGGCTCGGGCACCTCTCCAGCATCTGGGAACCGCCCGGAGCCGCTTCTGCAGCCGAACCTCCCCCGGGGGAGCCTCTCCGGGAACGGCCGGGGCCCGTCTCGGGGCCACCGGGCTCCGGAGGCTCCAGCCTTCCAGTCCCGCTCCCGGGACACCCTGGGGCGATGCGCACGGACACCCAGTGCCCTCCGCTCCCCGAAACCCACCTCGGAGCTGGGAATGCGACCCGAGGGATGGGTGCTCACGGGCAAGTGCCTCGCAGCAGGGAGAAGGATGGAGGCAGTGCCCAGGGCAGATGGGAATGCCCAGCCCCGTCCTCCGCCCCTCGTCCCAGTGCTGTGCTCGCAGTATTCCCAAGGGAGCGGGGACGCGTCCTAGTAGAGCTCCTTACTCATCCAGCGTAACCTTTTCCTTCAAGGGTTATGAATAACAACCAAAGTACAAGTTTGCCTTGGAAGATTAAAAAAAAAAAAAACAAAACCAAAAAAACCCAAAAACACCGCTTGCTTACAGTAGGAAACGTTCTAAACTCTGAGTATTCCACAGCTGGCAGCACAGAGTCGGTTCCAGCAGCTCTCTGGGATGGATAATCGCGCTGCTGCTGGAAATCAGTAGTGTAAACCTGAACTTCAAAGGAAATTTGGGGGTTCAATCCCGCATACAGCAGAGAAATTCCTTTTAAGATCAAAGCACTTCCTCCCCTGGTTTCTGTTCAAAGGTAGCAGTAGTCCCACCAAAAATGAATTTTAATTAAAGACATCTGTGCTGTCATAAAACACTCAAACCAGAATCTAATAGCAGAATATAATGTAATAATGACAACAAATGATAATAATTTATAATAATGGCCAAGAGCTGTGACATTCACCATCCACATACTGGACTGTAAATTCTTAGTGTTCCAAAAAGCATTTAGGATTTTTTTCAGACCAGATCCCTTTCTGGAACTTGTTTATTGTAAGGTTTCACTGGAAGTCACACAACAACATACCCAAGTTTTTGCCAAACCTGGTAAATTATTTCTTTCTTAATTACCAAAAAAATAATGAGAACTGCAGGTCACTAACTCAGCAATAGTCAACAACAAAATGTTGCTAATACACCAAGGCTCCACCTCTCTTCTGAATCCTCATCCCAGATAAACACACACCACCTGTTTTTTCAGAATCCTCATCCCAGATAAACACCACCTGGTTTTTCTGATGTTAAGCTGTAGGAAATTAGCAGAAAAAAATTCAGTGAAAGAAGGTACTGAAAGAGAAGGTCATTTTATTACACAAACTCTCTAGGCAAGTTGATCTCATACCCAGTTTCATATTCACAAGCTGTGGGCACTGAAGGCATCTGGCCTGGATCTTTCAAGTTCTTCTTCATGGGTGACAAAAAAAAGTTATCTCTATAACCTCTTTTATCATTGGGAGTGGTCTTTAGCTGCAGCTTTCCTGTTGGGTGGAGAGGAAAAGGGGCAGCAGGAGTGGTGCAGGGCAATCTCTGCCATCTTCCTGTTGTTACACTACAGAATCTTCCAGTGACAAGTTTTCTCTGTTGTAGTTTTATCAGGCTTGACAGAAGCCACCCATTTCCCAATGTGATTGATTAGAAACAGCATCCTTAGCAGTCAATATAGGACATTCAGTGTCTGCTGTTTCTCCAGCTGCTTTCACACACACTGTTTATACTTTCATACACACACGTTTATATGCTGTTCATACTAGATGCAATATTTATCTTAGAAGGTCTACTGATTTAAACCATCATTGCTCATGGGAATATCAGAACTGGCACAATTGCAAGCCTCTGCCAAAATTAATTGACAAAAGACGTCCAGGTAGTGGCCAAGAGCCCATATAAGCCTAGAAACACTTTCTCATTTAAGACACAGATGTGTGGGAATATTTGGAGCACAGCTACTAAACTGTCCTAAGGAACAGGGTGGTGTTTGAACCTTCCCCAAAGCCATCCCGGGCTCACCCTGTGTTAACTTCGCCTCTTCCGCTGCTCTCAGTAGCTTATGACCTGTGAAAACAGAAAGCTCCTGCTGCCCCCAACAGGTCTAAATTATTCGTGGAGTCTGGAGCTCGGGGCAGTGTCTCTTCTCGATGGATACAGCTGTCCTTGGAGACATCTTTTCCACCACTATGCTGGATTTAGTGCAGCCCTTTCCCTGCCAACTAACAAAACAGAGCCACTTGGCTTTCCAGCAAGATTTCAACACTACCACCACCTTTATTCAACATTTCCCTCTGTCTCCCCAGATCAAGAGGTAGGTCTTGAGTCACTTATCTTTCACTCTGCCAGCTTTCCCTTTTTCATTCCTTCTAAAGCAGGTCAGATCTCCAGCAACCCACTCCTTGTTTGAGACTGATGTACCTATACCCTTCACACACTTTTTAAGGAGAAAAATGCGTTAGCAAGTCTCCTGTGCTCACCTGCCTTCACTGTAGTTGAAGGTACTTCAGAGGGAATCCCAGAGAACTGTACAGTTTAAAGTAAATTTATCCAAAAGTGCACTGTGCCATCAAAGCAGCAAAAGAAGTGAAGTCCCAGGGACATTTCCCTGTTCTTATTTAATAAAAATAAAAAGGGCATTTGGGGAATTTCAGTGCTATTTTGTAGTCACTCACATCTACCGAGGTGGAAAAGTTTAGACGAATGTTGCTACTTCTTCAATGAGCTGGAGAAGCCTAGAGAAGAAAGAACAAAACTATAAAAGGATCTAGAAAAAAAGAAAGCTGTTTCTTTAGAAAGAGGGAATAAACTAGAGCTGAGCAGGGAAAGGACAGTACTGAAGTAGTAAGTGAAGACCAGAGGCAACTCCTGGGTAGAGGCAAATGGAAAGTGCTCTGGGCAGATCAGCAGTGGCAGAAGAATTAAAATCTTTTTCTATTGAGGAGAACAAGACACAAAAATCCCCTTCTGCCCCATTCTGTGTTCTCATGGCAACTGTTTCTTTTTACAGGGACCTGGCTGAGCTCAGCAATCAAAGTTCTACAAAGTTCTTTGACTATCACCTTCTCTGGTGCCTGTGGTGGTCAAGGTGACACAGACTCTCTAGAGAGATAAAGCCTTTGAAGTCAGTGAGAAGCAGAGTAAGCAGAGCAACCCCTTGTCCTAAAATCTAGAGAGGTCCTCCTTCCTCTGCTTTTATTTCTTCACCTGTAATATACCCTGCGTGCTGGTGGAAGAGGCAACCTGAAATTCCTTCTGTCAGGAATGAGGCCTATTCTTTATTTTATTTTTCCTCTGCCTTCTGGGTGGACACATCCTGCTGTTCTTCCCTTGATTTCTGCTCTAATGACCTCTTTTAAGCAGGGCCATTTGAGCCACTAAACAGTGAAACCTGTGCAGGTTTAAGGCAAAGGATATGAAACAGCTGATCCAAGTTGCCATTAATTAACAGGGAAAGAAAAAAAGGATAGCTAGAGTGACACAAATTCCAATAAAACCCAACCCAAGTCATAAATGCTCAAATTGCTCTTGGAGGTCCAGCCTGGTCATTTTGATAGCAATTCAACCATGAGATCATGGGCAAACCACATCTTTTCTCTCCAACTCACTTCTACACTTCTATAAAACAAACAAGTGTTAAATATTTTGAAGTTTGAGATCCTGCCAGTTTCTCCAGTGCCACCTGCAGAGCATTTCCAGCAAAGAAAGGTATCCACGTGGGTAGGGATACAAGCACAAAGAAGTTCTGGGGTCCCTTTCAGTGTCAGGAAAGGCATGAATACATTTTGCATTTGGATTGGCTTTCCACCTCCAGAACAGCTGTGTAAAATGGAAGAGACCTGAATTTAAACTTTGCGAAAAAGCAGGTTTGGTATTAAATGGACTTAACAGGAGTGGGTGTTGCCTGCATATTTTCTCTTTACGACTTCCATTTCCATGAAAAAGGTTAGCTTTGAAAAGCAATAGTTAAACTCACTCATCTCTTCTTTTGTTGTGTTTATACAAATACACTGTTGGCCTCCAATCAGAGACACATTTGAAGATCACACACATATCCCATGGAAAAAAAACACAGATAATTTCACTGAAAAAAAATTATATTAATGAGCATTTAGTTAGGAAACTCTCGTTTGAGGAATGCCAAGTTGAAGACCTCCTTGTAACCTGCAACATGATGGATTTCAAGGCAAGTTGAATCAGCACATGATTTTCAGGATGCAAGGAATGGTTGTCTTCTAAATGCCAAGCAACTCTTGGTTAAAACATCACTCAAGATTGAGTTCAAAAGGTCCCTCTAGCACTGCACTTTCTTTTATCCGTCACCAGCGTGGAGAACAGACTTGGGAACATGTCCACATTCCCTTCTCTGCTCCTTTGCAAGAGCTCTTTCTCCAGGGGAGCAAGGAAGCACTGACACTTAGTGCCCAGTTCCTTCTGTCAGTGCCTTTCAACACCTTCCCTTCCAGAGACCACAGTCTGTGTCTGCTGCAGGAAGATGGTCACAGAATCAGCTCATCCTGGAACGACTTTGGATGCGGTGATTGTCATTTCTGGATACCTGGAGTAGGGTTGCTGGACACCAAAGCACTGTTGGGAAGTCCAAAGAGAGAAAACACAACGCTGGTGAGTTACTATGTTAATGAAAGGCTCACTGGATGAGTTTTCCCGTCCGCTGGTGATCTCTCCCACTAGAGGGAACTCTGAGGCCACCAAAGACAGGGCTCTGTGCTGAGGGTGCACCTCGACACAAGCTGTGAGAGGAACCTTTGCAAATACATTGGGGGCACATCTCTGTCACACCTCGTGTAACCACGCAAAGAGCTGGAAGGGGACTTTTCCAGCTCCAGCCCTTGAAAACATAACTTCTTTTTTAAAAAGTACTTATTGTTTTAACTTGGTATACAAGGAAAAAATAAGTACCAAAAAAAAAGACAAGTACAAAAAAACCCTCCAAAATAACAAAAATCAAAACTCAAAAAAAAAA